GTAACACTCAAAACCTCACGCGTAAGTGCTCCTCCGGCAAGAAATATTTTGGTACGGCCTAATAATCCTAACCCAACCCATTAGAGGACTATGTTGAGACGGGATACTGGTCGACAATCGAAGTTCCCGTAGGTATTATATGCGCATGCATGCCGGCAGTGCGATCACTCTTCAGTCTTGCGCTTCCGAAAATATTTGGTACCACTCGCGCAACCGGCGGCTCGACATTCAACAGCTTCGCCCCATCCTCTTCTGGCAATCGTCTGGGAGAGTCCCGGGCCAAGATCAGCATCAAGCAGGAGTGGACAGTGCTTAGCGAAGGTCCTCCCGAATTCGACGCGGAACGTCACCGACGCAACGATACCGATGTCGAGCTCATGAATGTGGGCGTAGCTACTACCGAGGGTGATGGTCGTCCAACTCGGAAAATGACCCTCTCGAAGCACGGAGGTGCGTGGCGAGGCATGAGCATTCCGGAGCAGCAAGAGGAGCAGTACAAATCGGCCGCTTTCACGCGAGAAAGAGAGTTGCGGTAGAGACTCTGGCGTCGCAGTTTTGTATAAATTAAATTCCAAGCTAGTTCGCTAGGTATTAGATCTTTATAGATATATTGCCTTTTCTTTCTAAATTTTCCTACTAGGTTTTGAGCGGAGAGGATTTATTTCCCCGTGTAATGATTATGGGGTTGTGAGCGGAAGTGATGGGGGAAAAGAGAGCATGGAAATGCGAGGCCCAACGGCGTTACGGAAGTCGAAAAGTTAATGATAAACCATTCAGCACACTACACTACCATCTTATCATTCAGATGGCCCAGCTTGAGTACAGTATTTCTTCCTCATGACACTACGCAAGGTAATGAACATAATGAAAAAAAAAGAAGTCTCTGGGGAGAGATGGTAAATCAAAAATTAAGCCCAAGTATGTTCAGCATTCATGATCGCTGTACATGGACGGAGAGCGTTGCCAAGGCCAATGAAAAAAAGGGACATTGGACAAGGCTCAGCTTCCTACTTCCTAGTGATGACCTATATAGAACCTCACTGGTACAATGTACCAGCAGAGGATTAGCAGCACATATTCCAAAACGGTAAAGGGGGAGGGGGGGGGGACTCACCTGGTAAAGTACGCATATGGAGGCCCTATCTCTCCAGCACTCTGAATCCGTCGCAGAGATCCAGAGCCCAGGTATGTTTTTTCTAACGACGCTTGCGCCGTGTCACAGAGCACGGTGCGAACGAATCGGTTACCGGCGGGAGGCTTCGGGGAGGCCACAACTACCCTCCCCTAGGCGTGAAAAAGCTCCTGGAAGGGCGTAGCCCCCAAGGTCCTTCGTTGCGACCCGAAGGGAAGTGGGAAACTGAAAGGACAGGCAGAAAGTCAATGCACTACTAACTCCCGACCTGCCCAGTTGTTGATGTGGAATAAACAGCGGGTTCAAACCTTCCAGGACTTCCCAAGAAATCCCTAGGCGATTCACCGCCGGCGTGCGAAGGAGTTGTTCCGCTGCGACAACATGGGAATATCGCGACACACGACTTGCCTCATCCGATTTTCCGTCGTCACGGCCAATCGGGCATCCGACAATGGGTTAGTGTTGTCCATACGGACTGCCAACAGGCCACCCCCGGAACATGTCAGGCTGTCGAGAGTTCGCCAGTGCATCGGCTCCCGCTCAACAGTTTTTTTAGAAAAAGATAGGACCCCCGCGTACTGAAAAAGACCTATCAACATTAGCAGAACGGGGGAGGGGGATACTTAACCTATTCTAGGAAGAGGAAGGGTTACGTTGAATAGTTCTAGGATAAATATAGATTGTCAGTATTGGAACCTATTGGAACCGTCTGGAATGCAAGAAGGGATATGGAAACATGGGGTTTAATAGAAAGTTGAAGGGGATAAGTGAGGTCAGCCGCCGGAAGGCAAGTGTAAAGTAAACATTCAAACAATGGTAAGTGATATGGCGTGCATGCATTATGTATCAGGTGAGAGTCATGAGTGCTATAGTGTAGGGGAGGTTGAGAGTTAAAGAAGAGTGCATACCTTGGTTGAAGCTTGGTGTATGGTGTATGGTGTATGGTAGAAGGCAGAAGGTAGAGTGAAGGTGGAAGTTGAAGAATGTTGAGGATAAAATAGAAAGTATGGGAGAGGAAGATGGTAGGATGGGAGGAAAGTCCTCGTGTTTATATAGAAATGAGCAGGGCGGTAAAAGAGAAACAGAATCAGCATCGGCAGAATAAAATGCAGCTGCTGATCCTAGTTGCTGTGGTAGTAACTGTGGTATCAAACATGGCAGCTGCTTTATTTATGTAAAATGATCTCTAAGGGTGATATCCTCAGGGTAAAACTGCTGCATCTCCAGGCAGAAACTGGCGATACTCAGGTTGCTAGGTGCTCCCCCGCCACCAAATAAAATTTACAACGGAAGTTACTTCCTTCAACTGATTTAATATGTATGTTCTGATTTAATATTCTTGATCTAATAGATTCTGATCTAATGGTAGCCTAAGGTATTCTGATCTTGCATATTCTGATCTTGCATCAAGTACCTAACATCTAGTAGTCTAGCAGCTGCTACCTTTTAAACTGATCTGATCTGATCTATCTGCAAACTACCTAACTAAAGTACTAACCCATATCAACACCTACATATTTTCCATATGGTACCTGGAATTATTTTTCACTGCTGTACTTAAGCACTTGCCTTAGAAAGTACCTAACCCTTAAGGATACGGTTGGCACCAAGCAGGTACGCAGGTCGATGCCTCTTCTAGCATACATATCTTAGGTACCTGACCTAACAGTACCATGCATTAGCAATATATTTAATATTACGAGAATTAAATCACCAACAATTCTTCGCTTGGTGAACTATCTCCGTTAGCGGTCAGCTTGAATATAGGTATCAGTTCAGGGGGTTGCTTGATTAAATCAGTAGGTACCCAATATCAGAATCGCCAGCGAGGTAGCCACTCCATAGTAGCAAGATATTACAATATACAACCTATGCTGTTCTAGTAATACTTGTGTGGTCAATATTTGTCTTGATTTATCAGGGGAAATTCTTATGTATCTAATCTAATGATTGCATGTGACTGCGCTGTAAATTGATCCTCATAACCTAGGAGAAATTCGAAATATATAATCAATTTTAAGCCCATAAAAAGGATGTTGCTTTTGTATTTTGTAACCAAGCCGTTGCCCAACTCCCTCGTCTAAATAATAGAGAATTACTTCTGTTGGGTAATTATATATAAAACCGTAGTTCAAAGTCTCGTATCCAGGCATCGATGTGCTACATCTTAATTGCGGGTGCCCTTTCGAGTAAGAAGCTTTCAATCGGTCGATGTTTTTCTTCAGTTAGTCTCAGATTTGTTTTAATCGCTATGATTATATCTAGAGTGACGTAGTTCCCACAATTTAAGAAATAGCAAATTATTGATGATGGGTTGGTAGATATACCCAGGTTAAAAGGTAAGGGATATCGAGAGCGTGGTTGCTTCAGGGTTATTTACTTGTACACAATTTTCTGGCGTTTCACCAGATAAAGCCTCTATATAAGTAACCAGGGGGTATTATTTCCATGATGAGCTCCGGGCGTACGCTAGTGCGTCCTTTGTTTGTAAGGGGGCCTGTTAAATCTACGACCTATCTATCATTTAGCATTTCATTTGACCACAGGGTCTGTCCATATGGCCTCATGGTATTCTTAAGCTCCTGGTACGTTATTAGCATTGGGACGTCGTTGTATGTTCCTATATCTATACGTGCGGATGCTCCGTGGGGGATCTTAACTGCATTCGTATACTATGTGGATGGTACTAGCGAAGGATCTAGACTCAAACGACGAGATGCGAGCTTTAATGACATTTGAATGGTCGCTTTATGTGTTACGAGTCTTCTTGATTGTAACAGCAATACGTATTCAGACGCGTAAGTTCGCAGATATCTATAAATGGCAGCCCTGAATAAGGCCCAAGACAATCCTTAGAGCTTGTCTACAGATATTATAAGCTTCTTACCTAGGTATATAATACATTTTATATCATACCTAACTTACTCTTGCTGATAAAATGGTTCGCGTTGCATCTATTACCAAAACCGCAATCTTCCTGACTGGCACCATCAAGGTGCAACATGCTGCTGGCAAAATCTGGGCACAGTTCTGTGACGACACGGCGTGTACGAAGAATTGTGGCGTCTCTGTTGATGTGAACGATCCTGGTTGTCTAATGGGAGAAGGCGGCCGTCAGTCGCTCAAGTTTCATGGATCCGACTTTCTCGGCACCTATTTGGTGCATTCACCAGACAACAATTGCGGATGCCAGCAAGACTGCACGGAGATATCCCGCAGCGCCCCGCCGTGTATTGATATTTCTGGCAAAGTCTCCTCCAGGTCATATCGCTTTCAACTTACGACCTGCAAGGAACTTGAAGGGGGACCTGGGGTTGGAAATAATTGCAAGCCGACACAGATCGTTACCTCGTCTTAATAAGAAGGAAGGACATGTTTATACTGGAAACTTATGACGATTTTCACACCACGGCTTCTCATTCAAGATGGAAGACTGGGATGGATGAATGTGAGGGATGGCGGAATTCTCTCTTCCGCAGGTATCGAAGCCGAGAATGAAAGAATTAACGTAACGTGTCTGAAAAGGTGTAATATTACCGGTTCTTGAAAGGGTTGCTACAACACTTTCCGCAAGCCAAAAATGGATGCAAAGGTTGCTGGGCCGATCGTAGCCTTCATGGTGGAGATAGGAGCGTGGAGTGTGAAGAGAAATAAGAGGTTTTATATTATGAATTGTAATGGCAAATAATCTAGGCGAAAGGAATATTGTCAAGTTAGGAAATTAGTATGATTAAGCGCATTCAGGGGTAAATGTCTATGCTGGTTGAACGTGAAGCAGTTTTTAGCCAGCTGCCCCTAGAATGGGCTTAGCTATATCTGAATTAACTGATTATAATTAATTATTAAGGGATTTCTTACGATTGATTGTATAGCCACCTTCGGCTTATACTTGAATTAGAAGGATAGGAAATATGATATGTCTGCGATACTATTCTTACGATCACGATTTATTTACGGTTGCGAGGGCTACAGTTGCGACCCAAAGAATAATCGCATCTTAATCTTTGTATCACCAGTTGCCATTAATCTCCAATGCCGTTCTTCGCAAGCTGAATATTCGGCCAAAAACCTTGGCTTACCGGCTCGTATGAAGATAGCCCCATAAACGAACCTCGAAAGCCGGCTGGAAGACCCTATCTGGACCCGTGCCCATATAGACTCACACAGGTACGAAATTATCATACACCGAGAATTGTCCTAGAGCTGTAAGTCTAGAACGCAAAAGCCGAAGACCACACCATAGTCTTATACCGTGCCAGACCCAGAATGCCCAACACAATAGTACTCAGTAAAAGAGACCCCAACGCCATACATGCAGGTGACAACGGTTTGTCCATATTACCGTGTTCCATATTCACGTGACCCCAAGATATCCCGAGAAGAAACCGTTGTTTAGGTGTCCGCATGTGTCTGTCATTACTCCTGCTTCTCTTTGGCGTTCCCGACGAATCGCTCCTTCATGGACAACTGTTTCCCTCCCATAGACTTAAACTTGTCAATAAGGGTCTTTCTCGAATCCAGCTCGGCAATCTCGTCACTACCCCCAACACTCTTGCCATTGATCATGATATTGGGCACTGTCTTGCGTCCCGTCTTAATACCCAATTTCGCCTGTAGCTGCTTGCCTAGGGGATGCTCGTCTAGTTCGACAACATAAGGGGCGGGGTCGATAGAATATTTCTCGAGAAGGACGCCCTTTGCCCTTTTAGAATACGGGCAGAACGTTTTCGAGAAAATAACAACTAAATAGAAGTAAGTAATAAGACAAGCGCAGAAAACGACGCGGTGATCTTACCTGGTGATTTCTTGAGTAAATTATTAAGAGTCGCTTCGACCTCACGATCCTCCTCTGACTCCTTGCTCTCCTCGTCTGTCTCCTTTGAGTTTCCCTGGGAAGCGCCTTTCTTCTGCCCTCCAGCCGAACTCCCTATACCAATGACCTCACTCGGAGGATCTGGCTTCAGTGGTGCCTTAGCATTAGCCAAGTCCTTGGCCTTCTGCTCGGCCGCACGTAACCGATCGGCCATCTCTTTTGCCAACTGCTCGTCGTCTTCGTCGACAGATCCATCCCCATCCTTGTCTTTTACCGTCGAATCAACGGTCGTTCCTTTGCCGCTCATCACAACTTGCCCAGGACCCTTTTGGGGACCTAGGCCATTCATAGTCTTGCCAAAGAAATCATGTACTGTTCGGTTGTCGTGGGGAATTGCCGACCGCATCTGAGATGTGAAGAATAAGGTGGTGATGACAGCGGCTAGCACTACCATCATGAGGAGGCGTACTCTTCTAGCTGAAGGCATCGTGAATTAACGGGTGCGAGGCTACTTGCTGGAATTCGATCGGCTATATTTCCTCGATTTGAGAGTTACGTTCGCAATGGGATGCCCGAACGAAAGGAATTGCACCCTGGTGTTTGCTATGATGCGTGGAAGCGTTTATCGGACGACCGGCGCAAACATGCCTCTATATCGTTTGAATGGCGTCGCTGCTAGTACCCGCACCAAAACGTCGATTAACAGGTGACTTGAACAAAATTTGGCAAAACGGGAACAAAATAGTTGGAATTGTGACGTATAGAGGGAACTTTCGAAACGAGTTGCAAACGTGTAGACCGGAAGATTTTCTTGAAGATTGGCAAGGCTGAAATGGAAATCTGGCAAAGACTGGATGTCGACAAGAGTTTTTCTCGAATGGAGGCGGCTAAATGCGACCCTCAGCGCAACACGCTATTAAATTAGTCCAATTGTAAGGAGAACTGGAGAACTGGAGAACTGGAGAACTGATAACTAATTGAGAGCCAAAGCAACAAGACGTGGCCGCGTATACCACTGGTACCAATGATGTGGGAATGAAACGGTGGATTGAAAATCAATCAATGAATGGACTCAGGTAGTTGAAACATGAGATGGCGATGCTGCGAGCTGCAAGCTGCAAGGAATGACGAAAGGCAGGTGGTTTTGGCATTGGTTCAAACTTTAAACACCTTAAAAGTTGCCTCGGGCGGCCTGGACTCTTGAATGCTTCCCCTGTAATAACCCCTGTATTTGATGTACATGCGAGTTTACCATGTCTAGACCCCGCGATCCTGGTTAGATCGGCAATTTTTGTGATGTAAAAAAGAATGCGAAAGAAAAAATATAATCAATTGCTGAGCTAATTACCAGGAATAGACTAATCTGCTATTTAAAATCGGGCGATATTTCTGCTACGGGTTTAGCCTCATCTGCAAGAGGAAAGGGGTTAGTCTACACACCCTGACACCTCCCAGGCCCTTAGGTTCTGTACCTATGTACCTAAGGTTAGGTCTGGCACAGCAGCACAGCAGCACAGCAAAATCCTACCGGCACATCACCACGCAACAAACGCAGATCTGGGGTAAAGTTCCCCCTGTACAAATCTTCATCCATCTCTTCCCAATACAATCCCGCCCTCTTATATTAGGTATTCCGTTCAATATGAAGTATGAAGATGGAATCGCTCGCAGCTATCGACACATATGGTATAGTCTCTGATGTGTTGCTTTTCTACCCCTGTTCAATATGTTCGGCATGCTGCATTGGTTTCCGGGGGTCGGGAGGACTTGCACGACTTCATCATACTACAGGACGGACGATAAGGCTGGCCCCGTAATGGCTACGCGCAGTTGAATATTCTAGTGCCGAAAAGCTATCGAATCCCCAAAATATCGAAGCTTACTGGACAGAACACCGCTACTGATATGTCCTGCATGGCGATCACATCGAGATCTTACTACACCAATGCAGACAGTTCCATCGCATATAAGAGACTAATAAAAGGTCATGGTAGATTTATGTTCCAGTTACGGGATTACTGAACCCCTAGATTTTATGCGCTGTCTTCAAGATAATATCAAGTGCAGAGCTTCGTATTCCCGCCGGTGTAAACCTCGGAGGTTGAATTAAATGACCCAATAAGTCTCCTATCGAACGAAGCACTTGACGGGCAGCCGTTGCAAGCAAAATCGGTGACTACCGGAATTACGTACTTCCACTATTAGTACCTGTCCGCTTCTTCCACCGGATAAGCAATGGGCAATCATCCGTACTCATGTACCGTTTCTAGACTACCCATCTACGGAGCTAAAGAGGCAGCTATGACCATGAAGTTTGGATAAAAGGAAAGGACGAACCCCCACATGACTAAGCATACAGGTGCACATACCAGACATACAGCTGCGTTTACACTACAGCCATAGCCATCCCATCTCAACCCGTCCGTCAGTAACTAAGTGACTAAGTGCCTCTTTCACGAGGGCTACATTTTAGCGCACAACGGACACATATGACAATGGCAGTAGCAACCGAATCAATGCAGACCTTGATGGCTACATCTTCCGTCAGGTACTTTAGACGACCTAATTGCGAAAATAACTTGCCCATCAGGGTGTTCAGCGCCGCACATAAAGAGAACAGACTTATTCATATGATACCATACACATAACATACCATTATCCCGCGCGTATTTCATAAGTCGTCGACAATCACTAACAATTATTGACTTCAAGTTGTTATGGTTTGGAAAATAGTATTTTTCTTGCAACATTAGCACCCATATTACTATTTTCATTCATTCCTTGAGCAATTAGCATTTGCAGCATCGCCTCTGTTAGCTTATACATAAGGCCCTTCTCTTTTCCTGGCGCAGATTATTTGCCATTCCAACATGGCTAGTTTCCCACGGGATCTGATCCTTGAGATCGCAGAGAAATCAGACATCCACTCTCTGCTCAGACTTAGCAAGACAAGCAAGGTAATATTCTTTACGACCTCTTTGAAACCCTAAAGCAGTTATATCTAGACAAACAACTAACTAATACCCAATACAGGAGATCAACGAGCTCCTCAAGACGTATGAATGTTCATTGACGAAGTCACGCCTCGCAGACTTCCCTGTCCCGCCTCTTGGTGATATTCTCTCTTCAGAGCTACGTCTTCGACGCCTAATAAAATATGGAAGTTTTCAAATGCTTCTAGAGTTAAACAAACGGAAATCCAGAATCGAAGAGATTCTCACAGCCTGTCCCCACTTCAATCTCAAGTCACCACCAGGCTTAGGAGAGCTCACCAATCCTCAGCAAAAGCGCCTATGTGCACTCCTGTACCGTGCAATTGCACAATGCGATCATATTGCAGATCTCGCAGCCAATGCACCTAAAGGTCCGCCTGCGACACAATGGTATAAACCCGAATTCATAGAATGGTGGGTTGACCGCGGGCTGCCATTATACTATCGTGAGAAAGATCCGTATACAAACTATCTCGCACGTCCCGCGCAACAGGAATACATCCGAAACCTTGCAAAACAGGATTGTACCGTGATGTACTATCTGATGAATATGATGGGATCATGCTGGGCCAACTCCCGCAGAGATTGGTTCCTCTCAGATCCCGCCTTTTACGAGCGTATTATCGCCTTCAAGGAATGCGTTCTGCGACATGGATCATGGTGTGCATGGGCTCACCTCATCGGAGGCGGCGAATGGGAATCCATGACCGATGATATTACTAGGATCGGATTGGCCGAACTCAATAGTTTTGAGTGCGGCGACAAAGATGCCCAGTGTAGTCTGCAGTCAGTGCTGATTGGTCGGTTTAATGAACTGCACGAATCTCCAGACAACGGACAATTGACGTCACAACAGGCGGTTATACGTTTGATCACCGCGGATATTGACGATAGCGACAATGGAGGCCAGGAAGAAGGTGAAGATCAGGATGAAGAAGACCAAGAATAGAAGACTTGGTGTCAGGATAAAGACGAATATCAGGGTTGAGATGAGACTTGATCTTGGTATGTCAGTATATAAGGGTTGGCGTATAGGAGTGAGGGTCCATTTTTCTGGACAGGCTGGTACACGGGGTTATTGGTGTACTGCGCTTGCCAACCGATTTTGAGGAAGCAGGCATATTGGGCCTCACATGTCAGACCCCCAGATTTCTACCATGCATAGCAAGCCCGAAGCAGATTTTGATGCGATGAACTCATTTATTCCCTGCAAGAATTGCAACCAGTGAAATGTACCATGTATGTCTGTCTATAATGTTTTATTGGTGTTTAGATAGAGGCTCATTGGGATCCGGGGCTCAAGCATTGTTTACCGGTAAATACCCTAGGTGAGGCGGGCATGGTGCAATGTATATCAGTAGATAAAGCTTGGGGGGTGGTTGACTATTGGGACCTTAACTGTAATAGAGTATTTTGAATTTTATATAAGTGGAAAACAACGTAAAGCCAACCTTATTAGATTGAAGACCAGGGGAATGATCCGTTCCAAAATTGAATTAAAATGAGTAGGTAAGAGACGATTTAGAATAGAGTGTAATTCCGAGGCATTTTGATTGTCAGGTACCTACTAAGGCACCTGATTGAACCACGCCTGCGGTCTTAAAACGCATGCATACTTCGTGTCTTTTATATTATCGCAGTACTCATGACATACCATTTGATATGTCATCCGGTTGACATCTCTCTGATGTGTCATGATATGACGACAAAAAATGCCTTACCTAATGTTCTGTTTTACATGTAGCAATTAAAGGCCGTGAGTCAAACCGTGAATATTCACCGCAAATAGAAACCCGTATAAATAATATTACAAGCTGAGGCAACTAAGATGGAAAGAGGAAATTCCAGACGATACGCTTTCACGCATTAGACTAGTGATACAAATAGTTATGAGACGGCGTCCCGGGGGCCCATTTAATTCTCGGTTGGTGCCGGCAGCGGGCGGGCTGGGGTATAGCATTGTCTGGCTAGCGTGAGTCACCCGGTGGAAAGGTAACGGCCCCCAATTTCTAAGCAAACGGTTGGGGACCTTTAGGGGTAACTCCCTAATCTACTTACCTATTTTAGTATGCTCCCACACTAAGATGCCTCTTCGTTGGTCCGGAACGCGTGTATGTATCTAGTTTCGTAGTTCAGCAGACAAGAGTTAAATCCGATCTCGCAGGGCGTATTAAACAAGGATTCAGATCAGGTACCCGGGATCTGATGACCGTTCAATTGGAACTTAACCCACAAGAATTATCTGGCAGCCTAACGATCAGACGCGTCAATGCAGGGAAAGATTCGTAGTATCGTTTGCTTAATATGCTTGATATGCTTATGATACAACTGTGATATAACTGTTGCCTTATAATCAGGCTGGAGTTTTACTATAGCTAGGTAAGCATAAGGCAACCATGAAATGCACCTAGGTAAGATTGTACCGTAAGAGTCATATTTTAATTCTGTATTTGTGGCTTTGTTCCATGGTAGCTTACGTCCAATGGGCGTATAAGTATGTTGCTCGTGTTGCCAAGCATCACTAAGACGAATTGCTTCTAACCAACCAGGTAAGAGTATATCATCTGCGTAGACTCATAATAGTCTGCCTGCATGATCAAGTCTAAGCTGTATCACCAGCCCCTGTTGTGTCTATAGCGGTTGCCTATTAGTCATACCAGCATACTAGAATCTTATATAAAACCGATGCCTTTTTTCTAAGGCTGGTTTGTGTATCGATCTTCCATTAGCATCACTATCATTCTTATAATATCAGGATACAGTTTAGCAATTATCTAATTATCAATATATCCCACAAGACTCCAATACCAACTACCCCATTGCCTACATTATAAACCCGGAAAGAAAAAAAAACCTACATCCTTATAACAATGTGCCAAGATTGCTATCGAACGTCAGCGGCAGCTGTCTCTATGTCTCTGGCGATGACGAACCCAGAACTCATCTGGCCATATCATCAAGACTAGAAGAGACAGTCAGCCCATTGCCAGTCGTCAAAAGCGCAAGCGCAAGCACAAGCACAAACACAAACACAAACACAAGCACAGCCAGATGTCAAACCCTCATCTGCCTCAACTTACTCAGAGTCGACCACATATTCGTACGACAAAGACAAGAGTCACAGCGATACCAAGCAAAAGCGGTCGATGCGCCAACGAATTAAAGAGACTCTCAAAGACATCGGAAACTCGCCCACAGCAAAGTCTGATCGAAAGAATGGCCAGAAGACCGAAGACCTGACGACTTACCACGGTCCGATGAGCTCGAGTACACAGGGAAGGAAGTGAGGTGAACAGTGATGAGGTTATATTAAGCATCTGCCTCGAGAGGATCTACGAAATTGATACATTATAGGCTCTAAGTGGGTTTCTTGATAATGATAATGAGACTTGGTTTACTCGTGGGGCTCGGGGCCCCTAGGGGCTAGGATGGAACTCTTGGGTAAAGATAGAGGGACTGGGACGCCTGTGGTAAAATAAAGGTGTGCACTTATGTTGGAATTGGATGGATACCAAAGCTTAGATTGGAATTAATGTCAACGACTTCATAGTAATGTTGAATACGATCTTGGTTAGATTGGATGTGTGAGATACACTTTCAGGACAGTCGCTTAATACCATTTTCAGTCTCAGACCTCTACATCACTTGAAACCGATACTCATCCGTGAAGTGATGAAGGCTCATAAAAGATCGTGGTAATTATTAATAGTACCACGTCCTCCATCAGAAATATAATAAATACCTAAAGCATAGGTACTTCTTCTGCTTAGGTCGGTTCCCTATCCGATTTTCCGGTGCGGTGCTTTCAGTCTTCTTTACCAAACAAAGCCTTGCTACTTTGGTACTGTCTTAGTTATACTTCTAAGAACACCGGAACTCCCATCCCTGTGCTTAAAATAATCTATATACGTCTTCAAGAGGATGGCATTTGCTTCTGGTACGATATATGTGACTGAGCAATCTTATCAAGGGCTAAGATTTGCTGATATTGTAGATCAAGAAGAAGGAAAAAGCCACGACTTGAGAGAATTTTAATTCACCGAATATACGATGGTTATTCTTATTCCGCGATGCTTCCCTACGTACTCCTGGAAAGGGATTGTACTTGGAACCTAATGAATCTGCACTTGATTACCTAGACGGGATGGTTTGAGTTCTTAAAAAGCGTTGTTATTATGGGGAAACGATTAATAAAGAAGTGCTGATCGGATACATTAGACTTTAGAGGTTACAGGCTGATAAGCGCAACGCTTGAAGTACAAAAAAAAGGGGGGGGGGGGGGGGGGTTGGTAAGGGGGTTGGAGGGGAAGAAAGATCCAAAGAAAAAGATTACTGTAAAGATAATTGCAAAATAACAATGCTAATAGGTAATTCTAACAAGTTTGTTAAAATCAAAGTGAATAGTGAATAGGCAGTTAAAGGAATAATAAAATATAAAATATCCGCTTGCGACACAAATACGAACTAGATAGGACGAGGGAAAGTGGAAAAAAAAAAGCAAACAGTTCGAAAAAGACAAAAAGTAAATGATCCCTCGGGCCGGAATCGAACCGGCGACATTTCGGTAACAATCTTATCAATTACAGCCGAACGCGATAACCAACTACACCACCAAGGGAGGCGTGTTTGCAAATACTACGGAAGGAAGTGGGCTTCCTTCCGAGGGATAGTTGCTGTGATGTCGATGCATTTTACAATGACTTATATTTTACGGTAAAGTGTGCGCAGAAATTTCGGTGCTTGCCCCAATCAGGGATAGTTAAATGGCTCGTGCGTAATCTCCTTCAATGTACCTAACCATGTACGAAGTACCTAACGTTATGAAGCAATTGAGTAAATCAAATCAGTCAACAATTGATGTTTTTCTCGGCTGCATGAGAGACACCGAATTACACGATGGAAGAATATGAGCTCTGGTGATAAGCCCCCAATTCATAACGTGCCTTCACCTGGGGAAATATATTAATGCAATAATGGCCTCGGGTTCAAGGCGACCAATTCAATAGCTTTGGCAAGATTCCTGTCATATTACAAATTATTGCTTCTAATTGCCAATTGACATGTTCCTTTTTATGTATGCTCCTTACGAAGAGGGGACGAGGGAGTTAAGGTACACTTCAATATTCGCATACCCAGAACTACTAATCTTCATCGCGTCGCTTGCATCTCGAGAATTCAACCCATGCACATCCTCGTACGCGTCCGGGATCCCGTCTCCATCCGTGTCCGTCGGCGCGTCTCCTTCCGAGTTATCCAAAGAGCCCGCGTCCTCGGCGCTGATCAGCTCGCCCTTCTTGCCAAAGCTTTGCACTTCCGCTACGAGGCCTTTGTCGATCTCGTCGCGCCCGGGGAAATTGGCACCGACGTTGCTGAGGACGTAGGTTAGGGCGTCGGGAGCCGCCATCAGTCGTTCCGGGCCTGGATATTCGAACTGCGTCTTCTGAATGTCCATGTCGCTGTAACAGCTGGTCTGGACGCAGAGGGGAGACCCGTTGAGCGTGCCATCTTTATTGCTGTCGTAGTAATTCTCCGATACGTCTGATAAGGTGAGCATTCACTCGGAAACATGGCATTTAGCTAGTATACTTACAGCCATGGAAATTGGCGTTTCCCCGCGTGAATGCGGTTACGCTCGTGCTGGGCCCCGAGATAAAATAGTTGTTGATGATGTTGGCATAGCTCTGACCATCACTGTCGCCAGCGATGTAAGCACCACCCCCTCCCCAGTTGTAAATGACCTGATGAGTTGTTTAGTAGCTGGTATATCTATCGAGCACCCAATGGCACACTTGGTAAAGCTTACGTTATTTTGAAAGTCGTTCATGCCCTTGACCTTGGGGTTTCTCGTCTTGTTGTCGATGTACAGATTCCTGAAGAGACTAATACCAAAGTCCGACTGCATCAATCCACCGCATGAGTGGGTTTGTAGGCCCTGGCCGATAATTGTGT